CATCCTAGCCCCATGAAAATCCACCGGAGGACACTGGCTCGCCTTCAGCAGAAGTCTGGCTTTAAACTTCTGAAGGCCTCTATTTGGTCAGACACCTCACCTCAGATGCATCTCATTTCATGCTCGGGTATAAAGGAAGGATACCATTTGTCTTTGGGTTATAGGTGGTGTTAGGACTGACATGCTGTCCTGCTTTCAGCTGGGATAGAGTTAATTTTCTTCATAGAAGCTAGGATGAGGCTATGTTTTGGATTTGGGATGAAAATAATGTTGATAAAATGTTGATGTTTTCAGTTGTTGCTGTGCAGTCAAGGACAGTCCAGCTTCTTGTGCTGGGCTGCCAGCACAGAGGCTGGGGGTGCACGGGGAGCTGGGAGGGGACATAGCCAGGACAGCTGACCCAGGCTGGCCAAAGGGATGTTCCATACCATACAACATCATGCCCAGAATACAAAGCTGGGGGGAAGAAGAAGGAAGAGAGGGACATGTGGAGTCATGGAGTTTGTCTTCCCAAGTAATGGTTATGCATGGCAAGTTATGGAAAAAACAAAGCTCAGCTGATTTGTCACCTTGTTTTTGATACTACTTTTATTGTAAGATTTTTAACTTCATTTTCGTTGTTCCACATCTGTAACCTTTTAAGTTAAAAAAAAAAAAAGATGGTTTGTGGCAGTCTGTGCTCGTTTTGCCATTAGCTGCAGAAAGCATGCAGTATAACAAAACTTAAATAAGCCACTTACTTCCACCATGCTAAATAGTTTTGTTGTTGTTGTTGAGACAACAGAGGGGAAAAAAGGAACATATTTGAAAAAAAACAACCTTCTTTACCAATTGTATGAGCATCAGAAATTAGACCAACTCCAAACCTGTGGCTTGCATGTACTCTTAATTCAGCACTGTCCTTACAGGAAAGGGGAAGGGGATGAGGAAAGAAAAGGGGAAGGGGAAGGAGAAAAGAGAAGGAGAGGAGGAAGGGAAAGGAGAAAGGGCAAGCGCTGAGGAGGAAGAAAGCTGGAAGTGTCACATCATAGGTCCGATGTGACAGTTCCTCTAACCTTGCACTGCTGAATGCGGCCCAGAGTCTGCATCCCCATTATGGGGACTCTGTTTTTCCCTCAAGGGAAAGGGCTGTTCCAGATGTTGCTCTGCGATATCACTGGCTTCCACCTTCCCTTTAGGACAGTCACTAAAGAAATGAGCATGGGAATAGTGTGATGGCAGGAGGGAACCCCAGCACATCCATTGCTAGAGAAAGGAAAGACGACTTGTTTATTTCTCAGGGAGCTGCCATGTTAAGTCACTCCATAAGTGAGACAAAACGTCATTTCCCAGTCATGCTCAAGTTAAGCTATTGACACTCCACCATCCCAAGCCTGTCTCAAACACATGGCAACAGCCTCTCTGAAATTTTCTTCCCAGTGCAAGCCTGGGTGTCAGCTTGCTCAGTTTTCTGCTAGCAGTGTGCTGCAACTAGGCTTTTAGAAATCCGTACTTAACTTCACCTGGCAAAACATCTCACTGTGACTGGATGAGGATTTATCCCAATAGCATCCAAGGTACAAGCAACTACGTTGCCTCTGAACAGCCTCCTGGGCTTCAGCAGAAGCCCTGTCCTGTGGAGGGCCCAGTACTGCACTGAGACCTCTTGCTCACAAGGTCATGCCAAGGTGAGTCCCCATTTGCTGGACGTGGCCAGGGCCGTTTGGAGGCTGAGGGAGAGGACACAAGTTCTCTTTCTCTTGCTAACTGCTGCCTTGAGATATTCAAGGGGTCAGCAGGAGCTTTGTGTCTTCTCACCGCATTCATGCAGGCAGCTTTAATGAACCTGCAAGGGAAACTGAAAGCCCAGAAGGAAAGAGTTAGCAAGAGACTGTTACAAGAAACGAACCAAGAGGAGAAAAAGAAGTGGGAGCTAGAAATACAAAGGGGAAAAAAAAAGAACTCAAATGATGCAAGACAGGCATGGGCGGCTGCTGCTTCGTCGCTGTGGCCAGGAAGGGAGCGCTGATGTGTGTACCACCCTCGGGATGCAGGGCAGCAAAGGTAAGACCTTTTCTGTGCCACATGGTTGTCTGAGCCCATCTTCCAGTGCAATCCAGAGCAGCTAAAGGAGCGTTTTAAGCTGCATTTCTCAGTGTCTCCACTACACAGCAAGCAAGGCTACAGCAAATACCTTCAGCTAGTCAATGAGCCCAGGAACAGGCACTTCCCTTTGCCCTGGAAACAGAACAAGCATTTATTTCATTTTGAAGTTTGTCCAGAAATGGAGAGAAAATTTTAAAGACTATGCCATTCTTTTTCATTATTTAATACTTCACTCAAACTCAAGTTCCTCCTTGAAAAGATTTAACCTCGCCCTTCAGGCCAGACGCTGATGCTACTTAAACCAGCATAGCCTTCCCCACCATGGGTACTCCTTACAGATCTAAAGTAATTTGTGTAACATTCATATATACTTATTTTTCATGAATATAAAATAAAAATAACAGTATAAAATAGGTAAATTATATTAAAATTTATATATATATAAAAATTATACAGTAATTGTATAAAATAATGTAAAAAATCATTCCCAAGAAGCAAGAGGAATTACCAGTAGTATCATTAAGAAACCCTTGCAGCTCTGTACAGTGTACTATTTCTTATACATTGAGAACAGACCTACCCAAGGTGGCTGTACAGATAAAAATCAAATAAGAGTTCAAAGGTTGGTGTCTGAAACGAGGCTAAGTGCAGACTGATAGCAGGAGGTAGGGTATTATTACAGCTTGCTGTAGCATCAAATATGCACTTGCACATCAGATGCAGCCGTACAGCTAAGCCTGCACCTTGCTCTGATGGGGCACCTCTGAGAAATGAAACAAATTATGTTGGTAAAAATGTGGTATAGGAGCTTCCTTACTGTGACTTTTTTGAGCACTGACATCTCAGTAAGAAGTCTCACCCCTGTGCATGCAACGAGGCTGGAGGAGCATAAAAAGAGAACAAGGAGTCACAGCTCATTTATGCCATTACTTGCAGGTAGCAAGAAAAGGAGTTATCACCACGTACTGGCGAGCATTTATAAAGGAGACTGCCAGTAGCTAACTTGTTTTTCAGTTCATTTTGAAGTTTGAAATCTTAATTGGTGACTTACATTTCTCTTTAGACTTACTTCTTCATACCATAACCACATTATTTTTCCAATATCCCATCTGG